TGAAAAAAATTAAATTCATTATTTCAAAACAATTAGACAAACATTTAAAGTAACTACAGAAAAGGTTCATTTTGAAAAATATTAAAGCCTTCATTTTAAACAATAGCTATCTAAACAACTTGTCATTAAAGTAGTTTTTGGATCACTCAAAAGATATTATTTCCTTTAACACACAATTGCTGATCTTTTAAAACAATTATCAAAACTGATATTTTTGTCTATGGTCCTTGGAAACGTAAGGAATTTTATTGATGAAATAAAAAAGAAATTAAATGATGTAATTCTGATTGCCTACATATACTGAAACTGTCCCGAGTATAACCTCAGGTAATCCTTAATACCTGGCTTGATAGCTCCCTCAGAGGAAGAAGCCAATCCTGGCTTCAAGAGTCAAAAATTCAATGTTGTAAGGCAAGTTTGAAGTTGTTGAGCCTGACCACATGGAGAGGGAAGTGCCCAGTAGTGATTTTATATAATTGTATTTTTTTAAACTTCTTTCAATGGCTGTACTTTATTAAATATTAACTTTATTTATTTCAGGAATTGTATCCAAGCATTTTCCACATGTGATCCCTGTGACAGTGAGGGAAAAAACTTGGGGACACTTTAAAATCATGAAGAGTGAACAGGACTTCAATAGATTAATATTTGAATACATAAAAATTTGCCGGGTACCAAACAAATGATAACTGAACATTGAGTGTAATATTTACCATTAAAGACTACTAACTTAAATTTTTATTTGTAGTGCATAACTATTTACTTCACTCTGACATTAAATGTTTCAGTGAGTCATGTGATCATTTTTTGCTCTGTAGTATTGTTATAAAGAAATTTATTAATTCTTTAAAAGGACAATATAATTGCTCTTTTCAGAATATTTCATTGGTTGTTATATTTTTGATTTTCCATGGATATTCTAGAAATTTCCAAGGTTTTTGCTTAAGTAAACCTTGGAAAATGATCTTGATGCTTTAGTAAGAATCCTCAGGGAAATATTACAGTATTCCCAGTTTTGAGAAATTTTCCGACGTTTTCATTCAAAAACCTTGGAAAACAAACCACGGAAATTGACTTTAAAAATCCTTGGAAATTGTTCCAATACTCCGAGGTCACTCATTTTACAAGGTTTTCTAAAAAAAATCCTCGGAAATTATTTTACGAGGTTTTTATTCTGAAATCCTTGGAAATCGTTCCAATACTTCTAGGTCTTACATTTTACAAGGTTTTTTTTTTAAAAAAAACCTCGGAAATTTTTGACAAGGTTTTATACCCTCTCCCTATTTTTTCTTGAAATCTTGACACTAAATACTGATGAATAAAAAATAAAAATCAACATGAAAAAAATTAAATTCATTATTTCAAAACAAATTAGACAAACATTTAAAGTAACTACAGAAAAGGTCATTTGAAAATATTAAAGCCTTCATTTTAAACAATAGCTATCTAAACAACTTGTCATTAAAGTAGTTTTGGATCACTCAAAAGATATATTTCCTTTAACACACAATTGCTGATCTTTTAAAACAATTATCAACTGATATTTTTGTCTATGGTCCTTGGAAACGTAAGGAATTTTATTGATGAATAAAAAAGAAATTAAATGATGTAATTCTGATTGCCTACATATACTGAACTGTCCCGAGTATAACCTCAGGTAATCCTTAATCCTGGGCTTGATAGCTCCCTCAGAGGGAAGAAGCCAATCCTGGCTTCAAGAGTCAAAAATTCAATGTTGTAAGGCAAGTTTGAAGTTGTTGAGCCTGACCACATGGAGAGGGAAGTGCCCAGTAGTGATTTTATATAATTGTATTTTTTTAAACTTCTTTCAATGGCTGTACTTTATTAAATATTAACTTTATTTATTTCAGGAATTGTATCCAAGCATTTTCCACATGTGATCCCTGTGACAGTGAGGGAAAAAACTTGGGACACTTTAAAATCATGAAGAGTGAACAGGACTTCAATAGATTAATATTTGAATACATAAAAATTTGCCGGGTACCAAACAAATGATAACTGAACATTGAGTGTAATATTTACCATTAAAGACTACTAACTTAAATTTTTATTTGTAGTGCATAACTATTTACTTCACTCTGACATTAAATGTTTCAGTGAGTCATGTGATCATTTTTTGCTCTGTAGTATTGTTATAAAGAAATTTATTAATTCTAAAAAGGACAATATAATTGCTCTTTTCAGAATATTTCATTGGTTGTTATATTTTTGATTTTCCATGGATATTCTAGAAATTTCCAAGGTTTTTTGCTTAAGTAAACCTTGGGAAAATGATTCTTGATGCTTTAGTAAGAATCCTCAGGGAAATATTACAGTATTCCCAGTTTTGAGAAACTTTCCGACGTTTTCATTCAAAAACCTTGGAAAACAAACCACGGAAATTGACTTTAAAAATCCTTGGAAATTGTTCCAATACTCCGAGGTCACTCATTTTACAAGGTTTTCTAAAAAAAAATCCTCGGAAATTATTTTACGAGGTTTTTATTCTGAAATCCTTGGAAATCGTTCCAATACTCCTAGGTCTTACTTTTTACAAGGTTTTTTTTTAAAAAAACCTCGGAAATTTTTGACAAGGTTTTATACCCTCTCCCTATTTTTCCAAGGTTTTCTTAATAGCAAAGTTTTGCATTTTCTCGTTCCAATACTCCGAGGTTTTTTTCCAAGGATTTTGAGCCAAAAACCTTGGAATATCTACACCCGGGAGCTGTGAAAATATATGTGTTGACTATATGATTATTTTGTATTTGAGAACTTTCAATGGGCTATAAAGAAATAAATGAAATAACATCATACTGGACTTTTGAGTTATAAAATAAGTCATCATAACAAAGAGGATACTGGATAATAATAGTACACCAGTATCCCACACACACCCAACCAACCGAGGGTTTTCGTGTAGGGCGCTCACTACGCCAGCGAGTATTCCCCAAACGACCCCAAAGCGAAGGCCCTGCCGGTGACCCTTGGCTACAGATTTTGGTGGAGAATCCGGGTAGAAGATCCTGCCAAGACATCGAAAAAGTAGAACATAATGAAAAAAGAAAAATGGACTTAAAGTTAATAAAGTGAATGGAAAATATTAGATTGACACAACCAGGAAATTGGAAAATACACCATTTAAAAAATGTTATAAATTAATCTTATACTTTGTATGTTTTTTTTTATTGTATTCATTATGTAATATGACTATGATTGAGGACAATCATTTTATAAGGACAGGTGATGTGTAACATAGCATTTCCTAGTCAAAATGCTTTTAGAAAATTAATTATAAAAAACATTAATAATTTCAATAATTTCAATATTCATAAAAAAACTTACATTTTTAATAATCATTAAAAGAATTTCATTGTTGTATAAATATTTTGATAAAAATTACTTTTAGATTCTTAACTGATAAATTTTACAACTCTAATATAAACATGTCATAGTGGTCAATAAGGAAATATTATCACCTTTTGATTTTAATACTTTATGGCTTAATTCTCAATTTCCTAGTCTTTTATCAAACAAGCCATACTTGATTATCTTTTGACATTTATTGCTAATATTGCTTAAGGCTTAATCACTATGACAACTCTTTCTTAATTTATATTGTTGCTTTTATATTTTAAATTAGTCTTATTTTAATTTCGGAACTTAGAACATCTTAAAGTCTTATATAGAATTTCGGACATATAACATCAAGTCTTAACTTAGAAAATAAATAAGTAAAATTAACTTAAGCAAAATTAAGGTGCTAGCTGTGAAAATATATGTGTTGACTATATGATTATTTTGTATTTGAGAACTTTCAATGGGCTATAAAGAAATAAATGAAATAACATCATACTGGACTTTTGAGTTATAAAATAAGTCATCATAACAAAGAGGATACTGGATAATAATAATACACCAGTATCCCACACACACCCAACCAACCGAGGGTTTTCGTGTAGGGCGCTCACTACGCCAGCGAGTATTCCCCAAACGACCCCAAAGTGAAGGCCCTGCCGGTGACCCTTGGCTACAATACCAAGCTTCGAAATGTAAACACAACTGACCAACATATATTTCAGGTATTTATGTTAACGCATGCCATTTATTTCTGGTGTAAATCAGTCTATGCATATATTCCTTTAATAAATAAATGCATGTTATTTTCAGATCGTACCTTTCTTCCAAGCTATGCACTTTTAATTACATTTTCCTAACCGTGTCACATGCTTCTTTCCGAATTCTTGACGACTGGAATGTTTCCCGTAAATTACAGCGAGAAAATCGCTGGGAAAAAGAAATTCAATCGCAACTACTCGGCCCTTTCCGTCAGTCTTCTTGATTTGGTTTCTGTACTGATTAGGGGAAGTAACCGTTGCGGGGTTTTGGTTCTCGGCATGAAAATGAGAGCGCAAAACAGTGCCGAAACTCATTCCAGTCGTCTCACATCAAAGGAAAGCGTACGTTGTTATCTTTATGAAATTATGATATTTTAGGTTCTTCTTTAAACGTTGTTAAAATAGCGGAAAACAAGTTTTATGTTCAAGGTATGTGACCAGGTCGTAATAATATGCAAATATATTTGGACGTACGGTTTGCGCGATAAAAATACACAAGGTGTATACAAGTGCGGATCAAGGAGGGGAGCCACGCACATAACCCCAACTGTCTGTGAAACAAATGAGCATTATAACAAAATAATACAGATGTGTAAATAAAGCTTGAGACAAAATAATTTGGATGATAAATACAAAAATAAGACTAGAGATACTTTAATTATGAATGACTTTACAAATGAGTGACTGAAACATCTATAACTTATAGTATAAGTATTAGCCTAATGTGGGAGTTCCCCCAGTTTTTCATAAATCTACTTTCGTTTTTAATTGTTAACTTTTTGTAATTTGTGTTGGAACATTAGTTATTTCAGTTTCATGAAGTAATCATTTCTTTTCAGTATAAAATATGTAACATAACGGCTACAATATTTAAAAGATACTTACATCAATTTCTTCAAATTTTAAGAAAAATCTTATCCGGGACTAACCTCCGCCATACTGATATTTTCTTCAATTTAACAGAGCATGCGCGATTCACAAAGGCCTCACAACACTAAATATTGTCCTCCACTTACCAGTACCTCTATGGCTATATAGATTTCTAATTTTCTAAATAATGCCACGGATTTATATTACATCCGTGATAATGCTCAAGGCAAAAATAGCATGAAAACTTTGGACTTTAAAAAATAATAGATTTTGTTTTGATTGTTTTTCTATATTAACTAAAAACTCAATGGTAAAAATGTATTATATAATGATTTACATAAAAGTATATATACAGTAGCGTTTCCGTAAATGTGTTCTTAATGCAATAAAATTAAGTATGATAATGGCCTAAGCATTTTGTTTTGGTTAAAAAATTACAATATTTATGTTACTTTGTTATAAAATAAATAAATAAAAATGCGATACAGTTGTTTGACCGGTTCCAGTGCAGTTTTTCAACTTTTGGTATGTAGCTGCATACAAATTAACAAATAGTTGGTTTAAAAAATGTACCTGCTATAGCTAGTTGATATTTAATTCGACTTCAAACCTAAAAATTATTAGGAAATATACATGTATTATCTTTTTTCTAGTAAGAATACTGCTTGATTGAATCTGGTTGGTTTCACTATTTCCAAAGCAAGTTCCGGTGCACATAACGTTACAAATGCCATTTGTAAACTCTGAAGCACCACAATGCTTGGCGTGAGATGAAGCAGAACTGCAATTGCATTGCATGCATTTGATTTTTCTCATTATTTCTGGTAAGTTCTGTTTAAAACAGGGATCGTATACATGTCCAAGATGAAAATAAGTTTTTTGTTTTGCAATAATGCTTGAACAACACGCATTCTAGTCCCATTACTGGTAAATACTTTTCATAGATAATCTATGTTTTAAATTTTATCCATATGGACAAACATCTTTATTTTAAATAATATCTGTCAACACTGACACATGTAGACATCCATGTCCATGTTTTGTTTTGCTCTATATATTCTGCATTTTATTTCATTATTCAGTTTCAGTTATATTACACTATACTAAATTAAATCTTGTTATAAAATGATAACATTGTAGGGTATTTTAAGTAACGACTTTCCTACTATATTATAGTGGCCTACAGTAAGCGCATTTAAAAAAAATGATTATAATTTAACTTTAAAATACGTATACCTCAAATAACCTCAAATAAAATGTCGGCACACTTTCTTACATAATAATAGACTTATTCATATATTTCAATATCAAAAAAAAACATTTATTTCTTGAAAGAAAACGCGAAAGGTTTTCATTTGGGTACATTCTGATAGTAATCCCGTCATCAAAAATACATGTTTCGGAACTGGTCAAAAGAGGTCTCCTGGTTTAAACATGAATCTTTATGTTAATTTTTTTTTTTGCAAACATTTTTGAATGAAGTTGTAAGGCAAATAACAACTTTTCCATCGATATATAAAATGTGTCACTTTCTTTCAGTTGACATTATAACATGTACCGATATACAAATAAACAATAAAAATGCGGATATGGATTTCAGCATTTTTGCCTCATGTTTGTTTGTTTGGTTTTTTTTTTTGGTTTTACGTCACATCGACACAGTATATGTCATATTGCGACGTTCCAGCTTTCCTGGTGGAGGAAGACCTCAGGTGCCCTTCCGTGCATTATTTCAGTTACGAACGGGCACCTGAGTAGAACCACCGACATTCCGTAAGCTAGCTGGATAGCTTCCTCACATGAAATAATCCAAAGTCCCTGTCGGGATTCGAACCAACAGCGGTGATGGGCAAGTGGTTTGAAGTCAACGACCTTAACCACTCGGCCACGTTTGCCTCATGTAGATTTAATTATCGGAGAAGCCGCAATAGAATAATGACTAAAATATTTATTTGTTAATGTCAATATACAACAAAACCAGTGAATATGTTTTTATATATTTATGGTCGTTTACATGAATGGCTTTCAGCGTTGGTTACAAATTACCTATGATCAACCTGAGACCATTTTTAGCCACTTACAAGTCCACAATTTTCTTGATGAAGCGGCGCTGAAAAATGTGATCACTTTTTATAAAACATTCTTAAACGAAAACAAGTGTTTAAGGCCGAAATAGAGTATTTTTTTCACTGAAATGGAGTGAAAACAACGCGCGTATATGAGTTAATTGGTTAACTAGATAAATCTGCATGATTTGGTAGTATCAATTGTTTGTGTTTCAGCCTCAAATAGTATAGCTTGTTATTGGTAAGTTACAGCAGAAATAACAGTAATTATTTGTTCTATGTTGCACTTTTTTTTATCTTATACTGTAATGCGCATGTCCATTATCTTCCCGCCACTCATATATACACTTATATATACACTGAACAGTCTGTGGTCATAAAACGATAGAACTATATTTATAGCATCACGTATATGTGATAATTATATATTACAAGTGCACGCTCTGTGTATATTAATAAATAAACCCATAATACATTATTAAAATAGCAAAAATCAGCTATGATCCCTTATGAAATCCCAAAACGACAAAATTAAAAACGTTGCAGGCTCAGTTTGATTGAATCTGTTCATGGAAAGTACTGGTAAGTGAAAGCTACCGCCCACGCATCGCTAAAGCAGAATTCAACATTAAAAACATGAAAACAGCGAAAAATTTTATTTAAAAACGTCCGCAAATGCGTTAATACGGCGGATATCACGGAGCTTTCATTATGGTATGTTCGAGCTTTCCATGAAAAGCGTCGAATCGCCCTAAAGTAAAACAATGCGTGTGCACTAAACAAGAAAACGATGGGCGGATATGAATAAAATGGAATTTTGAGGGATAAGAGGCTATGCATTAAATTCTTTACACTTCCGGGACTACATATGGATCTCAGAATTGAGCTTTGGTATTAATTAGGTAAGGAATGGAGCTTATATAGGTGTAAGAGGCAAAATCTACTAGTATTGATGGATAAACAGTTATTTATTGGTATCAACTAAGTAAGGTCTGGAGTTTATAGGTGTAAGAGGTAAAATCTACTAGTAAGGATGGATAAACAGTTATATTTATTGGTATTAATTAAGTAAGGTCTGGAGCTTATAGGTGAACGAGCCAAAATCTACTAGTATGGATGGATAAACAGTTATTTAGAAAATCGACAGCAAAGAGTACAGAAAAACGGAACTTTCTCAAGTCAGCAAACTGTTATAAGTGGAGCTCCAAAGGGAAATATAATATGACCAGTTTTCTTTTTAATATTTTATAAATGACTTTCCTGAGGCAATATCCTATACATATAAACTTTTACAGAAGACACTAAAATATGTTTTATTTTCAGGATAACATTTTGGAGTGACTATTCAAGGAAATGACAAACTATCTTCCATAAAAAGACTAAAACAGCAAAACTTTCCACATAAGGTAAAATGTGCCCTATTTTTATGAAATACTAAAATACCTGAGTGTAATCTTTAGTAATCAGATGAATAGATAAATTAGTAAGGCTACTAGGAGCCTAGGACTTAAAGTTGTTATTTTTTACCTATACGAATAAAGAAATGTTTTTACAACTATTCAAATCACATGTCAGATCACATTGAATGCACCTCTGCAATATGGACACCTTGATTAAAACAAAAATGTAACAGCCATTGAACATGATCTCTTTATTTTCTTTATATGAAACTCCGATGAAATTTTGATCGCAGATTTAATGTTTTAAAGAAAAATATCAATCAATGTTGAAATAAAGGTTTGTTTGAATAATATTTAGCATCATTCCGCGTTCAGTGTTCGTAAATCTTTCTGTTTTGAGCCCGTACTTTGTGTGGCATTAACATTTCTTTGTTTTCGCCACACAAGGACCCATAGACACATCAGGACCAACGCAGGAAAAAATATATCCACACTGTGCGGAAATCCTAAACTGATAAATATAGAGGAAGTCAGAGGGTAGAACTTAATTTCGATATTAAAAAAAAAAATGAATTTTTTAAGTTTTTTTTTTTAACTTGAACTATTAATAACCTTGTGAATGAACTTTCGCCTTGAGTTAGGTGTTCAGTTACACTTCTGGATCAACAGAAATTAAAATATTTTCTACCGATGATCAATTTTATGATCCATAGATTATGTATTACATAAAGGATATTTGTTTGTTTTGCATGTAAGATTGAAATTTAATTTCACTGAGTGAACACCAGATGCAATATTTTCACGAGTGGCGTAGCCACGAGTGAAAATATCATTGCTGGTGTTCACGAATGAAATATATTTTAATCTTATATGTAAAACAAATAAATTTTCTTTTTATTTCATGCTTTTTAAGTGATTTTGAGTATTTTTACTGATTTTGCCGCGTAACGTCGCACATTCTCCTTTGTGACGTAATCACATCGTGACGTCACATCATCAATTTTGAAATATAGTTCTGTAAAATTTCTCTAATTTTGATACATTTTTAACATGATGTATGTTAACATCGACTTTCTTTTCCTAAAGAATCACAATTTACGTATGACGGCATTTATTTCTGCCTGTTATTCCATTTAGTAATGATTTTCTTTTCATCCGCATTCGGATATAGTCCGGCTACAGTGAAAATTATATTTTATAAATTTCACTAGTGGTTTATCAGAATATATACATCTGATATATAACAATAAAACACTGGAAAGCATGAAATAAAAATCTTTATTATAATTCTAATATCACCATCAATCTGATATCTTCATTCACATTCTGATATCTTCATTGTCATTCTGATATCTTCATTGCCATTCTTATATCTTCATTGTCATTCTGATATGTCTTTATAATCATTAAATATCACCATTTTCACTCTGATGTGAATGAATTTTTATGTAGATACAAATGTACGATGAAACGCAGTAAGATATATGGTTGTCATTCCAATATCATTATTGTCATTCTGATTTAGTTATTATTATACTGATATCTTCATTATCATACTGATATCTTCATTATCATACTGATATCTTCATAATCATTATTATACATAATTATCATTATTATTCTGA